CCTCCTCCTCCTCCCCCTCCATCTTGGCCCGTCGCGCCGCGCCGCCGGCTGGCCCGCGCGCGCGAGGTCTCCAGGGTCCGGGCGCGCCCCGCCGCCCGCGCTGGCCCCCCGCCCTCCGCGCCCTTCCGTTCTTCCCCTGGCGCCCGAGGGGGCTCCGAGGTGCCCCTCGGCCGTGGCCGTGCCTCCTCTCGGCCTCGCTCCGAGGCTCCGCCGCCTCCTTCCTCCTCCTCTCTGCACAAGTCGAGCTTCGCGCGGCCCGCTATTAGCTTCGACCGGGAAAGGTGCGCTCTCGACCCGCGGATCAAAGTGTGCCCCTCGGCCCCGTCCCGACCGCGTCCTGGACCCAGGGCGCCGCTGGCAGAGAGGGGTGGGTCGCGCCGCGGGCTCTGGCCCACCACAGATGGGGCGCGACGCGCTCGCCACGTGCAGGGCAGGGCGTGAAGCCGGGGCCGCCGCCGCGACTTTTTTTTTTTGGGGGGGGGGTCGGCGGGTCGGGAGCGGGCCCCTTCCCGTGAAGTACTGGGCGGGGCGCGCGAAGCACGAATTGGGGAGACGGGGCGCGGGCGGGCGGGGCCTCAGGGAGGGTGCGGAGTACAGGCGGTGCCGAAGATCTTGCACGGGAGAAGGTACGCCGTGGACAGGAGCCGGGGGCGAAGTCCCGGAGGGAGAGCAGATTGGTGTTGCCGTCAACGGCGCGCCAGGAACACCATCCTCGAGTGCTGCGTGGGGAGGGCCGTGACCATGTCAATGCAGACGCGGTACGCAGAAGATCCTGACCGTGGCATAAAAGCAGGTTGCCTTAAGAGTGAGGGTTCGACGGGGCATTCCTTCAGGCTGCTTCCGGCGGGGGAAGGGAGATATTACCCAGTCGAGCCATCTGGTCCCTCACCTTCTTCCTTTTCGGCGTCGCGGTCCTCATCGTGCTCGTCGTGCTCGTAGACTGATGGGGCCTTCATCATGTTGTTACAATTTAATATGTTTGGGTCCTCCTTGCGGAAGCTGTACGTCGAAGACTCCCACCGTGGGCGGCATACCAAATATGCCGGCATGGCCGCGGTGCACGGATGGGGGAACAGGCGAGGCAGAAAGATGATCATCCGACGGCGAGGGGGCGACAGAAACCACGCCAGACATGATGATGAGATCAAGGTAAATACGGCCGGAAACATTGGCTTAGCGTGTCGCTCCGCCGGTTCTGGCCCAAAGCGATTCGGCGCGGCACGTTCTCCACGTCGCGATCTTCGAGCTTCAGCGTCTCGAGCTTTTCCCTGCCCCCCGCCCCGTGGAGCGGAGCGACATGCTATCCACTTGCAGGGCATAGCGCGTGGCTGGGGCCACCGACCATCATCACCCTCAGTAGAGCAGGTCGGTACAGTAAACTGAGGTGGGTAAAATATCCATGTCACCATGCGCGCAGGGCGTCTCAGTGTGTATTATGAATTAAGTAAACGCGTGGCACCACTTTGCGAGACGACAGTATTCCTTCGTCACCTTTCCCGCGTTCCTCGCCACCCTTTTTTGAAGAAGGGGAGGAGCAGGGGAAGGAAGAGGAGGAGGAGGAGGAGGAGGAGGAGGTGTTAAAACATGTGATGGCAACTGGGTAGGCATATGTAGTCATACAGGTGAGTTGAGCTGCTGTCGTTCCCGACGCTGTTTGGCTCAAGCTTTTGACGTCCGGAAGTCTGACTCATCCGAGCGTCGCAGGTAAGACGAACGCACGTTACCAGGGTGGATCCTTCTGGATATTCCACATGGTAGCGGAGCGTCGGCTGGAATGGCAGGATCTGGATCAGCTGTTTTAACCCTGGGCCTGCAAGACCCTTCTGTTGAACTTTGCGTATCTGCGGACCGAGCGGCTTGGATTTCATTAGATCCCCAGAGGTATAATATGGACGTGTGCGTATCGTAAACGGTCGATGGTAACGTCGACTGTGTGAAGACAGCGCTGCGCGCCACTCATGAAGGAATCAGAGACTTCATGAACGACCGCCTCTCCACGGACACCAAGTAGGTTACCCACCAAGAAACCTTCGAGATGCTACAGCTGCAGCAGAAGATGGGCGCCATTCTGAGAAGTGTCCGTAACCGAAACTCGGTGGTGGAGCGATATGTGCGCAATGTTTACCGACAGGTCGAGAGCATGGCGGCGAGCACGGATACGCACGGAGACATGCTGAGGGATATTTCCAAGTTGAGTGACGCCCTTAACAAAGGAGGAGGAAAAGGAGGAGGAGGCGGCAACAGCAAACCCATCAGCGAGTTCAAGGTATTCCAGAACCTCAAAGCGTTTACTGGCGACAAAGCTAAATTCAGAGAGCGGAGCGACAAATTATTTAACGCTTTGGCGCAAGTCCGTTTTCATTATTGTGGAGCAGTCAAGTCACTCAACCAGAAATTGGAGACGATGGACGGAGTCATACCTGAGGAGGATCCGGAGGACCTGTTACGGGTTCAATGGGCGACACACACGCCGACTACCAAAAGGCCAGCATGGCCAGACAGCAGCAGGAAGATTATGAAGGGGAACTCCGGAATCCATCGCGGGCATCAGCGACCCCCTGTCCAGCTACGTTGGGCTACAGACATCTACAGACCCCAACCGCATCCAGAGAGCCGAGTACAATCAGTTGATGGCCTACGTTGCCGCTTCCTTGAACACTTCGCGGGGGCAATGAGGCACCTGCGCAGGCTCACAGGCTCGAGATGACCCGCTAGCGGGCCGTCCTAGCCCAGTTCATCAACCATCGGCTCGCCACGATGGTCTCTCGCCCGACAGCCGGCGACCGCAGGAACATGCTTACGCCCCAACTAGCCGCCAGCAAGAGACTCGACGTCCTCCCGCACATCAAGCTGGGAATACGTCACAACTCCAATCCACGCGAGCACCCTTCGCGATCTCTATCTGCCAGAGGGGTTCGACAACCGTGCCGTCGTGAAGATCGACGACCTGCTCGAGGCACAAGGAGCTGCGCCACCATGCGAAACTGTTGGGCATCAGACAATCCACGGCGGGGACGACACAGATGACCCACATGGCGAACGAGATGCCACAGGCGAGAAAGTCACGCGCCAGCAGAACCGAGCACCCAAACACTGATTTGCAGCACCCCAGACCGTACCCCGACTGCGGGCCCACCGCCGCCAGGACCCAGCACGACATGCCGCGACATACTGCCTGTCACCGACGCCCTCAGCAGGGGTCCGCCGCTCTCCGCCGACACGAGAGAGACCAGCCAACGAACCAGACGCCTGATCGAGGAGAAGCACAAGCGGATGGCACCGGTGGCCAGGCCTATCCAGCAGACGCCAGCCCCATCGCCCATCACGGTCACAAGCGGCAGGACCCGGATGACCGACCACGACATCTATGACACGAAATACCCACCGTTTCGATCCGACATGGAAACGGTGCTCAGCGATAACGAAGACGAGGCTTATCTCGGGCACGACAATTTGAACTACACCACGACGAATGTTGTCGATGGCACCAAGCACACCTAGATTGGACAGAACCCGACACCATCACAACAGACGGGGAGCAAGGGTACCGCCAGCGAAGCTGAGCCGGCGCCACTCTGGACACCATGGCCAACCTTCGCCGAGGTCTACCAGCCCGCCTTGCCGACAACCTCTGGCGAGGCAGGAGGTCCCCCCTGGCCGCCCACAATTGCGTGAGGCTCGAAGCCCCAAGATCGGACATGCCTAGCGGAGGCCTCTCAGCGCGACGCCTGCCATCTCCAATTTTGTTCCAGCTAGGCTCCAGCAGACCGACAGAAGACTCCACCAGGGCGACCAGCTGCTTCTACTCATATCCTTTTCTCTCCGCTACCCTGTTAAGCAAACAGCCGCATTCAGCGGGCATTTTGCAGTCCGCGGGCGCCAGGGTGCACGAGACGGTCAGGCGCCGATCAAAGCGAGCGGCGGGCTGCACTGAAAGCTAATACAGGCGCGATGCGAAGGGGCAAGAGACGAGAGAAGAGACAAGGCGGAGCTCGATCAGACCATGTAGGTTGGCGCGGGAGTGCCGATGGGTCACGCAGCTGCTTGCGAGCAGTGGGTTGCCTGCGCGAGGTGGAGAGCTTTGTAGGGGTCGAAGAACACCAGGATGGCCGGGGACAGAGCTGGCGCCGCAGGAGGCTCAGAGAGCCGAGCTTGAAAGGGAAGCCTCTGGTGCCAGATGCTGGGGGGTCTGGGCACCGCGCGGCAGGGCCACGCCTGTAGAACTTGGCGCGGAACGCCGGCCTTGGAAAGAAAACGTTGGGAAATGGACGGGGAACTGGAACAGGAAGCCCTTGCGGCGAGTGGCAGGCAGCCCGGCAGCGGAGAGGGCGGACGCTGACAGAATTGCGGCGTGGATGCGCCGGCCCTGAAGAGAAGGCCGCGCTGTGGCCGCGAGAACCTCTCGGGACCAGCGCCGAGACGCGATCAGAAGTACTCCGGGTGCAAGTCGAACCACGGGACACCCCGCGCTCATTGGACACCCAGCAGCAGCAACAGCTGGCTCGCACCGACCGCTCCATCCTGCGCGGCACCCACTTCGTGATGCGTACACCAAGTATGCTGCTACGCAATCTGGATATGAGAGGCCACCTCCACCAAACCATCTCTGCCTTCCAGCCACCTTCTCGTCGACGCCTGGCCTCCCCCCACCGCTTGCACCGCTAGCCTCTTCCTGCTCCTCCTCGCTCGAGTGGCGGGGGGGGGGGGCACTCCGAAGGTGATTGGCACGGGGGCGAGCCGCTGGCCGTCCTGGAAATGGCTAGGGCGGCCGCGGCACCAGCTACAGCCGGCCTTTCTGCTTCACCC